CCAGACTCTCCTTTGAATTTCAGATTTGAGGTAGTAGAATTGTTTTTTAAACAAAGTAACGTTCATAGATTTATAGTATTTTTTTTATAATAGGAGAATATCACTTATATCCCTTTTTGTTAGAAGCATAACCAAGGAAGATATATTTGATGGAATTGAGTCAAACTTTGTGCTTTTGGTTTGTGGATGTGAACAAAAGAGATAACCAAATATTTTTAGAGTAAGATTGAATGAGAAGGCTCTTACATGAGGGTATGTTTCTATCAAAACCTCGAGAGGCTTTTAATTTAACTGTTTGACATTTTATTAATGAGGTAGGCTGTTGTAAGTGCTGCATCTCTCCAAAAATTTTTTGGGAAAACATTATAGACCTAGATACCTCGAGAGATATCTATTATTTCACTCAGTTATTCTATTTTGTTGTGAAGTCTCAAAATAAAAACTCATATAGATGATATTATATTTTGCAAGTTAGGGTCTAAAGATCAAATTGAAGGATTTCTTTGCATTATTAGTTTTGAGAATCTGAATTTTGCATTATAACTAAGTGTAAATCATGTCATGGACGGATTAAAAGATTTGTGTAGTTTCAGATTTCTCATTCTTGAGGAATATCCCATTGTTTCTTAAGTGATTATCAATAAAGGAGACAAATCGTCGACTCTATTGATGATTTTCAATTTTAATGATCCCCAAATATTATTGTCGATGGTAGAGAAAGCATGTGAGGATTTGTTCTGAGATTGATGATATACATGATGGTTATGTTTAGCTAATTGACACACCTATAAAACTCTGTCTTTTATTAATAAGGAGATGAGAGTACTACTTTATAACAAAAAAAAAAAAAAAACCAGACGATAATGCCATCATAAAACTCTCAACAGATTCAGAAACATGGGAAGAGGACGGTGAAGAAGAAACTTGTGTGTCAAGCGAATAACTTTCCTTGAAGATGTATAGACATTGATGCAATTCAACAATGGCAATTATCCTCTCCCAATTCACCGCTTGAAATTTACAAGAGTTGGAATAGAATTTAATAACACAGTTCAAGTCACGAGTAAGCTTGCTAATTAAAAGTAAGTTACAATCTAGTTGGAGAACATATAATTTAGAAAAAACTGAATATCTTCGGTAACTTTCACTTCATTTTTCTCAATAATCTTGGAGTGAGAATTATCAACAAGTCTAAAAAATTTGGAGGTGGTGATCCCTTTGTAGTTGGTGAGAGCATGAATATTTTCATTCATGTGATCTGAAGCATCTGAATCTATTATCCAAAGTTATAATCTTCCATTGTTAATAAGATAGGAGGATATGATATTTTGGTGTATCATTAAGCTGGCAGGCTGCTCATTCGTGCTAGTCAGAAGCTTCTTGAACATCTCCAACTGTTCCTTGGTGCAGGGACTAGGGTCGACCAACTCTTCAGAATAGGTAGCAACATAGGCGTTGCTGTCTTGGTTTTTTGTGTTCAGGTTTCCAGTCTATAGGCTATGTAGTTTTCAACACCCGTTCTTTGTGTTACCAAGTTTCTTGCAATGTTCACACAAGGAAAAATTCTTCTTTTGTTGTGAATCGTGGGAGTTCATGCATGTACAAAGCGAAACTTCAGTGCTAGATCCATCATGACCTTCTTCTTAATTTCTTCTTTTCTAATTTCAACAAATGCTTCCCTAGTGTTAGGGAGAGGCTTCATGCCCATGATTTTTCCATTGACCTCATCTAAGTTCTTATTTAAAGTCACTATGAACTTGATCATCGTCTTCTTCTTAACTATTATTTTATGCATCATAGCATATTGAGGGCACTTTCATACATATGTATTTTATATATCTAGTTATAACCAATTCTTTAATAGTATGTTGAAGTATTGAATAACACTCAACTCTTTTTGTTGAAGCTCATATAATTTTGTCTCGATCTCAAATCATTTTGCAGTGTTTTTGGTATTAGAATAAGTTTCACGAGCTACTTCTCAAACCTCCTATTTTATCTTGTAAAATAATAAATTTTTTTTTCAACTTTTGTAGTTATAGAATTGATTAACTAAGACATGATTATATGATCCTGGATGTTCCATGAGCGGTGGTTAGGACCAATGAACTCAAAAATTGTGCTCTCTCATGTGAGATATTCCATTTTTTTTACACAAATGTACATAAGTACGGATTTGGACTATTAAAGGAAGTTATTACAATTGAATTTATGGTTTGTGATAAAGGTAATGAGTTTTGGGGTTGTTTGGACAAAATTCCTGGTCTCTAATTCGGAACTAAGCTTTGGAGTATAACAAGACGCTTCATTACGCTCTTAATCATAAACCCTATGCACATTTATGGTTGTATAAAAGGAGTTGATTGCTGCTTGCAGCAGGAGTAGAGGATTGCAACTGCAGGAGGAGTCCAATGCTATGCTAAGGAGCAAAGAAGGGCTTGTAGGCTGGTTGGAGGGATTTTGGCTGACGCAAAGATATTTTCGGTTGCTGGAGCTTTAACAATTATAGGAGCGAGCATATGAGGGACTGTAGGTTGGCTAAAGGCATTTCGGCGGCTGCTAGGGCGATTTCGGTTGCTGAAGGAGAGCTAGAGTGACACTGTTCGAGGAGTCCTAACAGACGAAACTGAAGATGAAGATGATAGTCTAAGACGAAGTGGACAAATTGCTTAGATGAACAAAGAAAAAGTCTATTCATTTGACCAACATAGACGAAGATGTTGTCGCAAGATGAAGACTACAATGTTGTTCTTCGAAGCAAATGCCAACAAGATTGACGCAGATTTGTTCGAATGAGACAGTCGAATATGTCATCCCAAGATGAGAGTGAGGTCGTTCGAAGTAGATGAAGCAGCCAACAATCGATGCCCTAATGTCGTTGCAGGGTGACTGCGAAGCAAAGGAAGCCGAAGGCGCCATCGATGCTTAGCAATGTTGACGACCCGAACAAGGGTCTGATTCCATGAAGTAAGGTGCATAAAATATAATCTTTTATTCTATTGTATTCAAATTACAACATTTTCCCTTATTATATAGGGAAGGTCTAGAACAAACATAATTATGAATATTATAACTTATCAAATATAAAACCAACAATAAAAGAAAGACATACAATATAATAAGAAACAAAATAAAAAGGAATAAAATTTAAATAGGAAACTCCCTTCAATAGCTTCCACAAATTGAGCTTGTGGGGCCCATCTGACTGGCAGTTTGGACCACCTAACAGAGGAAGCTAAGGACGCCATCGATGCTTAGCAATGTTGACTACCTAAACGAGGCCTTGATACTATGAAGAAAGGTGCATAAACTATATTCTCTTTTTCCATTGTATTCAAATTGCAATATTTCCCCTTATTATATTGGGAAGATCTAGAGCAAACATAATTATGACTATTGCAACTTATCAAATACAAAACTGATAATAAAGAAAAGACATAGAATATAATAAGAAACAAAATAAAAAAGGAATAAAATTGAAATAGGAAACAACTTCCACAAATTGAGATTGTAAGGCCCATATGGCAGGCGGTTTGGACCACCTAACGGGGACAAAATTTCTCAATACCATTAACCCAATTTTATATATGCATTTTCTATCCTTTATTCTACAAGCAAAAGTCAAAAGTGGCCTTGAGTTATTTTTCTCTATCTTAACTTTAATGGTGCTTCTCATTATCTTATTTGTATAATTCTTTCTAAATTTATTCCTCTTGTTTTTTAAATATTCATCATTAACATTCTCTTCTTACCACAGTTTGTATGGTTGAAAGTAACTTTGTTTTTCCCGATGTTGATGTAGATATCATTGCTTTTCTAGTAATTCACCTTTTGAGATTTTTTTTTTTCTTGCATGGTAATCTTAAGTAACTTTTTAATTTTATACCCCACTTTTATTCTGAAAAGTAGGTTCTCTCTCCCCTTTTTACAGACTATGCCACCCCTTTCAATAATAATACTTCAAAGTTGGGCATTCACTATCAAAATGAAAAATTAGAAATTTTCATATTAATTTACACCTTTTCAGAGATTTACATTCTGATTTAGGCTTGCATGAAGGTTGCAGGCTCTACTAGATGTATGAATATTGGTTTAAGTGATTTACTTGTTAAATGCGTTTAAAAATATGCAAATCAAGTTGAACTTTATAGTTATGATTTTGAAATGGTTTTAATTTAAAAGTATATTTTTTTACCCCCTACTTTTCTTACTATGTGATTGATCTACGATCTTTCATTCCTAAGACTTTATCTGGTTTGATCGCTTATGTTATGTTGAATGTGTTGTTACAAAACATTGGGCTCGTCAATAATTGACTTTTTCACCCTCAAGGATAATAAACATTTGCTATATGCTTGCATATAATTCTATTGCCAAGTGTAAACCTTTTCTTGTTTAGCTCATTAATTAAAAAATCTAAACTAATTTGAAGGCGGCTCAATTTATTACTTAACAATTTATGTTTGACCAATTGGGGAAGTTGAGCTCAAGCTTTCCCCACATTAGGCTAAATTGATTGCTTAAAATCTTGTAATGTATACTTTCCTAATAAAACCCTACATTGCAATGCATATTATTATTTAGGTGGAGGGAGGTGAGCTGATCATAATCCTTTGTGCTCTTTTTTTTTTGTTTGTTTGTAACGAGCACAAAGGTATTTATGTTGAAGTGATACATTCTAATGATCATGATTGAATTTTCGTTTAACTAATAATATTTTGGCATGGAATGAAAGCTTTTTATTACTCGTTGTCTTCTTACTTTTCTCATTTATTTATTGATAATTATTTTCAGTGTTAACCAGCAAAACTTTGGGAAAAAATATATAAACCTCTTCAATTAATGTTCCAGCTGATTAACCAAAGTAACATCAATCCATCAAAGTGTTTATTACTGGGAAGTCTCTATTTTTATATATTAATTGAACTAATTTTATGAGAAGGTTTTGAAGCTACGTCAGTGATGTTTGTCTATCATTTAGCCTAATATTTGTGCTGTAGGTATGCAGAGCTGAAGGCCCATTATGAGATTGATGATGAGAAGGCATCTACAGGAGTAGCTATCCCTCAAAAAATGTCGGCAGGACTTATATGTACGTAGTACATAACTGAAGTTTTATATTTTTGGTGGATTTATTTTCCTCATTTATATTAACTTAGTTCTGTATCTTCAGCTATCAAGTTGATCTGCGTGGGGGCTTCCATGGGAGAGAGGCAACCCTTGGTAAAAAAATTGCCTTCTACTACTACGGTAGGCTTGCTTGATCATACTCCAAACTTAATTTTTAATAGTTTTTTTTTCTAAGGCTTAAATTTTTAATGGAAAATTTTATTCGTAATATGATTTCAGGTATGAGTTGACTTTTGTTGTTGTTGTCGTTGTTTTTGTTCTTAAAACTCCCATTCCAGTAAAATATGTAGCTTGATGATTAACATATAGAAATGATGCAGGAGTATCATGCAGTAAACAAGATGATATTAGAGATTGAAGATATAAATTGATAAAAATTCATTTAGATTAGTTGTGTTTATGAATCTTGGTACAATACTTATGTCAATTTTAGACATCGTGTGATAAAAATAAGAATGTTAATAGATTACAGATGTGTGATTAATCTAGAAAGGATAGTAGTGTGTGAAATATTTATATGAGAGAGACGATGGATGTAGCCATAATTTGAAATGAAGTAGTGGAAAGTAAACTTACGAGTGTTATAAAAGTTTAATAAGATTGAAGGATAGGGAGAAAGCGTCTAAAAATGGTATCATGGTTGGATCTTGCATGAACTGTGTACAATCTTTTAAGCAATGGGAAAAACAATACTGAAGGGCGTTATGGAGCTTATTTTACTTCTTGAGACAGTATTACTATTAAGACCAATTTAGGATATAATATGCCAAGCTTTAAAACCTCTCTCCCCTGCTTCCTTGGAATAACGAATCTACTGCTTTGCTCCTTTTTATTTATGTTTTTTGTCCCCATTCTTCATTAAATAAGAATTTTTATTGTAGGTATTATATTTTGTTTGTTTGTTGACATTAGGTAACTTTGAACTAGAAAGTATATTACATTTTTAAGGCAAGTTCTTGATCATGGAAGGGGATTTTTTATGATGTTATATCTCTACGTCTCGAGCTTTCAAAACTCCAAGAAGGGTTTTTCTGGATTTTTCTTGGTGTGTATTTTATGGAATTGTTTTGTTGTCATTAGTTCTCTTATAGCTAGAGAGACACTTTCTATGTTTTGCTAGAATCAGTGGATGAAAACGGTGATATAGCTGGTGCTGATTCCGTTTTTTTTTTCTTGGTGTTAATTTCATATTTGCGGGAGTGTGCTGAAATAATGGAGTGTCATATTGTTAGATAAACCTGAGGCCGTAGCTATAATAAATTTTCAATAATATCATTCCTTCTATTCCCTTATTGTAATAAATTATCAATCCGTTCTTCATAACTTTGCCACATATTGTTCACTTTTGGTGGGTCTTAAAAGCCGTTTTATACATGTCTTTATTACAATATTTTTTGACCATGAGTTTTGGTGTGATTATGATTGTTCGTCTTAAAATGATGGTCCTTTATTTTTTATTTTATTCAACTTCATTGGCATTGCGATGTCATATAAATTGTTACGCTTTCAATTTTTCTGATGTATATGATTGGTCATGCATTAGGTTGGCAGGCTAAAGATTCTTTGTGAGAGCTTATTTAAACTTAAGGGGGTCAAGTTGAGACTCTTTCTTCAAGAGAAGGTATTATTTTTTTTTTCAAAATTTTATTTGTGAAGATTTATCTTATATTGAAGAGTTGTTGTTAGCTACAGCACATCGCAAACTCTGAAGTAATTTGTATCAACTTAAACTTTTTTTTTGCAAAAACAGCTTTTCTGTTCAGCATTTAGTTCAAATTTGGGTTTGTTAAGTTTTATTAGTTTTGTTATGGGCAATAAGAAAAACACTAGCCACATAGGGAATAAATAAGGACATTAAGATGAATGAGTAGAAAAACCAAATATGATATTATGTAAAATCAATTATATTAAAAGAGGTTGTAGGAGGAATGCTTATTTTCAGCAAAATTGTGGAAACTAGAAAGCAGACTTATTTGATTTGCAACATGTAAGATTAAAAAAAAATCAATGTGTTGGCATCAATTTTTGTTTTGATGTCTCGAGTGTAGGGTGTCCACCTGCATGGCTCGGGATAGCTTACGGTCTGTCCGCAGCCATCTGGTAGTTTAGACACTCACCCAGGACCTTTCGGCACATGTTGAGGGGCACGTATCCAGGGTCATTCTGCTAGGCTTTAGCTTTCGCTTATGCGAAGGCCGGTCGACATTTGACAAGTCGGACGACTTCGATCGGGTCGACGGATGTTAATCGTCGCGCCGAGAGCGAAATTGACTCAATTTGACGCGATCGTCAGTGAAGTTGTCTAGATAATCTCGGACGACGAAACGGACCACGCGAGTGAGTCCAGAACGTCGATTTCACTTAAGAGGGACGTCTATTTCGCCATGGCTTCACGGGGAGGGGGGGGGGGTTAAAATAGTACAAATTATCATTTTTAGTCTAATTGTTGAAAAAAGTTGTCTGAATGACCCCGGATGACGAAACGGACCACGCCGATGCGTTCAGAACGTTGATTTTGCCTAGGGAGGACATTCATTTCAAAATGATGACGTGTTTGGGCTAAAAATGCGTCGGGCGATGATTTTAAATTAATAATAATTATTATTATTATAATAATAATAATATTATTATATTATACTATTTATTATAATATAATAAACCAGCGACCGCCACCTTCTCCCTCGCTGTTCCTCACGCTGCCAGCCTCACCGCCGGATCTTCTCCCTCGTCGGTGAATCCAACCGCCGTCGGCCACGCAGAGCACCGCCTCCAGTTGTCGGCCGAACTCGAGCCCCTCCCTCCTTCGTCGTTCTTCTCGAGAAGAAGCCCAAAGGGCTGCGTGAGCTCCCTCTCCGGCGCACCTCGCCGGACTTCCTCATCGCCGGCGAAGACTGACGCCGCCGACCACCTTAGCCAAGATTTCCAGTCGCCGGCCAGACCCTCCGACACCTTCTCGTTTGGCTACACACCGAGCTCTCTCTCCTCGCCGCCCCTCCTCGCCGACCTAGCCCGACGTTGCCAGTCACACGCTGAGCTTCTCCTCCAGCTGTTGGCGAAATCCCGACAGCGAGGTTCCTGTCGTCACCTCCTTCGTGTGCAAAACTTAGGGCTGTGCACTTCCCTCTCCCTCGTCGTAGCGACGAACACTTGCGGGGCAGCGATAGCGTTGCGACGCAAAGGACGACATTCGACCCCTTCATTAAGTCTTTTTGTTGTCCTGTGCACGTTCTACGAGTCACATTGGAGTATAGATCGGACGCCGGCGAGCTTGGAGCAAGCAAAGAAAACGCGTCTGCAATCGTCACGGTGGTGAGATTCCCTACCTCTTAGCCAGCCTTAGAAATAGTGGAGCCTAGGTGTGTGGGTTCAATCACCCCCACAGGGTGTGTGCGCCGGCGTGGGTCTGCGCGACGACGTGCTTGCGTGATGGATCGTTGGATTTCCTAGAGCTAGCATTTAGGTTAGGATTTCTCATACGTAGCCAACACACCCCGTAGAGTCAAGTGTCTCCCCTCTTGTTGTGAGACTTAGTACAAGTCCCGATGGGTCGGAGTCGCTCACTCCTCTTACTTTGGATTTCTCAGCTTTACTTGGAGAAACTGGGAGGTCGAACTTGACAAAATGAGAAGCTTTGTAGCTGGCTCGCTTTGCAAAGTCTGGAGGAGTTCGCGAAATGGGAAAAGCTTTGTAGCTAGTTCATTTCGCGACGTCGTGGAGAGTTTTTCCTCTCGGAGATCCGGGGAGATACTCCCCACATTTCCTCACCAAAGTAAGAGGCGGTGGTGTCGCACATCCAAGGGTCTAAAACTTAGGTCTCTCAGGTGAGTTCGTTAGCATGAGCCCGATTTGCTACCTGCATGTTGGTTTGCTATATATTGCTTTTTTTTGCTTGGTGCGTGTTGCTTTTCACTTTGCTTCAACCGGCCGCCCCGATCCGGTGAATATTTCACTTAGCTCCAACCGACTGCCCCGACTCGGTGAGCCTCTCACTTCGCTCTGATCGACCGCCCTGGTCCGATGAGCATCTTACTTCGCTCCGACCGGCCACCTCAGCTCGACGAGCATTTCACTTCACTCTGATAGGCTACTTCGACTCGGTGAGCATCCGGCCGGTCGACCAATCACTTTGGTTCGGTCGGCCACCACGATTCGATCGACCGATCACTTGCATGTTTGTTTGCTTTTGCATTATATTGCATGCTTGTCTGTTTGCATGTCACATCTGGTATGTGTTAGCTTGCATGATCATTATCATTTGTTTGTGTTGCACTTCTTCGGCCGCTGCTGGTACGACACGTCCATCCCTTTTGGTTACTGTCATCACGACATTCCTTCTTCGTGCCGCTGCCACCATGACACACCCATTTCTTTTGGTCACTGCCGCCTCGGCACACCTTCGGGTCGTTGCCACCACGACACGGTCATCAATTTTGGTCACTGCCGCCTCAGCACACCTTTCTTCAGGTCGCTGCTTCTACGACACGTCCACCTTTCGGGTCACTGTCGCTACATCACACCAATTTGTTTGGGTCGCTGCCTACACGGTATGCTCATTTTTTCCTGAGTCACTACCCCACGGTATAATCATCACTTTTGTCATGTGACTGTTTGCATTTGTAGCGATCCAGACTCGTTAGGAGAGTGACCCCATGCTGGTTGCGATGCCTTAATAAGCATTGTTTGCTGGGTTGATCCCGGTGAGCAATGCGAGTTAAGTCATCAGGACTAATATGAGTATGACTGTGCTAAAGATCTAATGGATCTAACTCGCGTCACCTCTCTTCGTCACGCCCTTTAGTTCCTTCGGATCTTTAAAATGGGGTCAGCATGACGACCCCTTTAAACTCATACTATACTCAGACTTACCCCGCACTTAAAGACTAGGTTGACGTCATTTTCATTAGATGATGTGCTAGGCTAGGATTTAGGGTGCTAGGTAGTCTTTTTGATATCTGACTATTGTTCTCTGTTGGATTGGTTGTCTTAGCCAAATATCTTTCTTTTGCATTATGTCTTTCCTGCGGATTTAGGGTGCTAGGTGTGACTGCATGTTGCATATGTGTGGTAGTGTGTTAGGGCGTTCTTCTGCTGGGAGTCATGTCTATTTATATGCACACACACATGTACCGCTATGGGGGAGTAAGTAATGATTTCTAACAATTTACTTGTATGTGTTATTTAGCTCCCCCATTTTTAATGCATAACTCATGATATGTTATTTGCATGTGAGCTTTCCTGCGGACACTTATTTTCATGCAGGATTAAGACTTTTTCTTTTTTCTATGTACTTTTTAGAGTCTATAAAAGTCCTGTAGCAGAAATAAGATACGGGCACGGGTGCTGAGGCGTTTGACGCGGGAACCACGTGGAGGGGACCAGGAGCAGATGCTCGTGCCCTGTATATTAATTATGTATTTTATATTGATGTATAGAAATAGGACCGGACACATATATGCAGAGTCCGACCATCTTTTTTTTTTGGGATATGTTGTCGACCTAACAACACCGACCTGTTTTATTATTTTGATTTGGCTTGCTTTGTTTTTTGCATTATATTGCATGTCTGCACTTGCATGTGTTTTCCTTGTTTCTTTTTGTGGTTTATTTGAGATTTCACAATATAATTTAGACTCATTAAGGACCCTAAAATTGTATTTTTTTACAAAATTCGAAATAAAATATTCAAGATAATTAAAATTTAGGATTAAAATATTCAGGATTTAAAAAATTGCAATATTTACTTTCCTGCATATATTAATAGGGTCTTCACAATGCTTAAGGATCGCTCTAAATAAATTCATTCATATTTGCATGTCCCGAGGAGGAGCCCCGTGTTTCTTCAACCTGACTGACCCAACATACCTTTATATAGGTGGTTGTCTAATGTGTCTGGGGTGTTATAAGGCTCCCCGACCCAAACGGGGTATAAGTCCTTTTGTTTGGAGCGTTTTCCAGTTTTGTAGTTGAACCTCCACTTTCTTTTCTTTCCTAAGACGTCCTTGTCATTTGGGCAGGTATAAGTCCCACCTCTTAAAGCTCCAGCTTTTAGTCATGGGATACAGTTTCTTTCCTTTGACTTTAACGCTACCGAGGTCTCGTGGACGACGCAATTCACGGATTGCTGATCGGGGATCTCAGGACGTGTTGGGTCGACTACCTTCACGACCAGGTAGACTTAGGGTCCTAGTAGCTGTGTATGACGGGTCTGTGGTACTCCGACCCAGTTACCTCTTACCTTTTTAGGATCACTCTACCTTTTTTGTTGAGTCATTTGAGCCATGTCGCTCTTTGACTTCGTTGATATCATCTTGACGGCCCGATGCAGATGAGCTGCTTATTTGGGATACGACGATTTGTCCTCTGCCCTTTGGCCCAGACGTGTTTTAACGTGTTGGGATATTTCCGTCAAGATGATTTATGTTATTCCATGGGTCCTGTGTGCTGATGAGCCGCTACCCATTTGGGATATGAGAAACTCACTCTCTGTCTGATGGCTTAGCGCGAGCTTTGAAGTATCAGATATATTCCCACACGGAACAACTTTCCTTTGAATACCTATTGCCCCAGGTTTACGATAATCCAAGCGAAACTCCATTTATCGAGAGTATTCTTGGGTACCCCCAAGATAATTAACCAAGTGGGATACGTCCCCTTGGGAGTGCTCTTGACCTCAAAACAGACTCCTACACCTGATTCTCTGGTTTTGGGTAGTTTATGTAGACATTCTTTCGCGGATATCGGTTTAAGGTGCTTTCGCCCGATCTTGTTTGGGCAGACACTCTTGACCTATTCCTGCGAGGTTTACTGCACATAAGCTCTCTACATTTTATGTTTTCTCTTGTTTTTCGCTTTGTTGTATCTCTTTTTATTCGGTTTCTCTCCTCTTCGAATCATTGATCTGATTCAGGAGGAAGATTTATTCGAATGGGGGGGGAAGTATACGACGATCGACAAGCTGACAACTCCTTATAAAATAAAAGAGAGAAACGAACGAAACACAACGATGTTACCAAAAGTGTGTGACAAATTTAATATGATAAGTCTAGAAAGGATAAAACCTTGAACAAACATAACTTTTGGCTGGACATTGTGAAAAGAACTTGTATAAATTAGAATTAGCAGCACACACTATTTTAAAATAAATGAATTGGCGAGTACAATTCATAAAGCAAACCATACATTCTTGCGGTCATGCTAAGGGTTATGATAGTAATCGCATTCAACTTTTGTAAATTTGAAATAGGAAACGTTTATTTGTTATTTTTATCTTGTTTGATCGCTAGCAAGGAACTTATTCTCTAACCTTTAATTAGCAACTTATGATTGCTGAATATTTGCCTACTACTTTATACCAACGATCATTTTAAGATAAAATAGCATCATCTGGGTTTGCTCTGCTTTTAATTATAGGATCAATATAGGAAATCTCAATTTCTTTCCTTGATGACCGCTGTTGGTAGTTGGCTTGAAGGCTGAATGTCTCTCTTTTCAACAACTTTTTCCTTTCCTTCTCCCTGATTGCATCTTCGATCTGCACTACCCAGCCCACTGTTTCAGCCTCTTTGATTTCTTTCACATGATAGCAGAATAGCAGGTTATGGGAATAAAGGTAATAAAGGATTAATGTAACTTTATAAATATAAAGATATATAACTATTATATAACATTTTATATATTCCTATTAAAGCACATTCCACCTCAGTCAAATCAACAGTAGATGCATGCCTTTGTGAGTGAAAACCCTGGATTTCATTGCTTTGCTACAGTAATAAGCACCGCTGTATAAATGTAGTTTTATGCATCCAAATAATCATTCTGAAGAGTACAATGTGATGAAATGATATTTTTTATTATTTTTAAAGAAGTTAAAATTTTGGATATGATTTATTTGGCTATCTTATGATTATTGATTCTATTGGTTATTTGAGTTCTGATTGGTTATGAACAGGATTCTCCTTTGCCAACACTGCTTGATGATGATACCATTTCTTTGATGAATGCTGGGGCTGGCAGCGAGGCAACCGTTTTGGTGGATGAAGAAAGCTAACCATTCTGTGAGATAATATTTCCTTCTCTCCGATATTATTTCTTTCAAAATTTTGTTTGCATCTACCCTTTTATATAAATTTCAAAGTCATTGTGCAAGAGTAGTCTGTTACCGACTTTCGCCGAGTTTCAAGAAAATAATTATCTAGTACGATACATACGATTACGATGCAATTCTTATGTATTTATATATCTAAAACCTAAAGTTTGATATTCACATTTATAACACTTTGGTGAGGTGTATTTCACTCCTACAAGTTACAAATAGTTGTATTTTTTGTTATGTTAAGTGGTAAGCATATAAATTTAAATGTTTAGGTGTTAAATATATTAATATATAAAATTGAGTGGTTAATGTCCCACTAGTTATAGAAAATGTTTTTTTTCTTTATGGTTCATATATTTTATAGTTTAAAATCAAATGGGTGCTTAATTTGTAAATTTCAATGTTTCAGGTGCTTTATATGTGATTATTCCTACAAAGCTTATTGAGGGCAAGTATTAACTCTTATTTCAAAAAACAAGTAATTTGTTAAGAAATGAGTAATTAGGCATATTTTCTCAAATATGAAAATAATGAGCATATTTATTCAGTAGCTCTAGTGACATAAGTGTGACTTTAGGTGATCAAATTATTAAAAGGTTGGAACGATTTAGATATCTTGGCTCCGTTGTTCAAAGCGATGGTGATATAGATGAGGATGTTAATAGTAGAATTCAAGTTGGTTGGTTGAAGTGGAGGAATGTTTCAGGCCTTTTGTCTGATAGAAAAGTATCGCTTAGACTGAAAGGAAAATTTTATAAGACGGTGGTGAGACCTGCAATGCTCTATGGCGCTGAATGTTGGCCTTTAAAAGAGAAGCATAATAATAATTTAAGTGTTGTTGAAATGAGAATGATTAGGTGGATGAGTGGCTTTATACTTGGAGACAAAATGTGAAATGAATATAACTGTGATAGGGTTGGTGTAGCTCCTGTGACGGACAAAATTAAAGAAAGTCGTCTTAGATGGTTTGGTCACTTTAAACGTTGATTATCTGATGGTCTGATTAGCAGAGTAGATGTTTTAGATTCGACTTGTGTTGAGAAAGGCAGAGGTAGACCTAGGAAAACGGGTTTATCGTATTAAAAATGATCTTAATTTATTAGAACTAAATGAAAATATGACGCTAAATATGATGCAATGAAGAAAAAGGATTCATGTAGCTGACCCCACGTAGTGGGATTAAGGTTTTGTTGTTGTTATTGTTGTTGTTGTTGTTGTATAATTTTAATGAGTAAATAAAGTAAAATTTCCCTGAAAATAGTATATGCTCAATGGCCCATCGATGTTGTTCGTATCACGTGTGGACTCCAGTGGCAGGAACTTTTGCTTCGGTACTCGCTGTTCGAGCATGGTGCTGCATGTGATGTTTCGACTTCATCATTATGTTCAGTGGTCCCTGACCCTGAAGGCCACACTTCCTGATTAAGGGAGCTAATTAATTAATTAATTATTAATTAATATGATTACTTTAATTAAGAAAGAAGGATATCTTGATACATCTAATAAGTTATAATCGTAGTTTAATCATATGACATTTCTTCTAAATTAATTTTTATACTATTTGATTATCACTTATGAATAAATGAGTAATTAAATTAGTCAATTAAATAAATCATAGTGCAATTAAGTAGGCTTTTATATTCTGATAAATTAAATATTTTAACTTGAAAATTAATATTAATTAATTTTAATGAATTAAATTCTCTCACAAATATATATATGTATATTATGATTAATGAATCGTCCACGCCAATCATTTCAGCACTTTGTTGTTAAATTTTATTTTTATTTAAAATTTAAATTTTAAAATAACAATCAAACCTAGTAGTAATGGGGTTTTATATGTATACCGGAGAAAATATTACAAGGCCCAATAGGCCTAGATAATCTATTTTTTTCAAAATACGAGTGTCTAACCCTGGCCGCTCTCGTGTTGACCCGTCATGTTAACCTATTGAATTGATCTGCAGGTTATCAATTGTTGTGTTCTAACTATTAGGTTGACCAACCAATTAGACCAATTAAACTGACCTGTCGTTTAGATCTGGTTGGGCAAGTGGCTCGATAACCCGTCATAAGCACGCTTAGAATGAACGGGCTTAGCTATGAAAAAAGAACATAAATTTAGTGGGTCCGCAAGATACCCCTTTGACCTAGTCAGAGCCCTCAATAGCCAAATCAAGCCCACCCACATAATACCCAGCCTGAATAAAATCCCAAATTATTATTTACTCATTCGCTGATTGTCTGATTTGCTATCTTCATTTCGCTCGCTGAATAAAGAGAAATTTGAACTTTGGAGGAGAAAATATGTAAATCCCAGTCTCCCAAACTAAGCAATTCTTTTTTTTGTTTTACTTATTCTTTGACGTGTTTAAAGTTCAGGGCTTTCTTCGGAAGGTAGAAGTGCTCATGTTCATATACTTACATAAACCATTGGACTTCAAAGCTGCATCTTATCATATCTGTCAAAAGTTGAGATTTGGATTTGGATATCTGAAATATTGGTATTTACAAAACCAGCGCAACCTTTCATCAATTTTTCAACATTTCGCCAAAATATAGAAATAACAACATATTATCTCCTCTTTTTGGCCAAAGACTCTTATTGCAGGTTTTTTTTTTCCGGGTATAATTGAGCAAATAGAACTGCTTAGATTTGAAATATCTTTTTATACATTCAAAAATCAATTTTCTTTTAAGGCCCGTGAGCGTGGAGTAGGCAGGCTTGGCTACATTTTTTTAAAAAATAAACCGGGCTCAAGCTAGGTCAGAGCCCGTTTTGATTGGTCAAAGCTCGAATAAGCCCAATTCGCCCAACACCCAGGCTTACTGTCGAGTATCAATTGTCAAGTTGACCACACGGGGTGACACACTGAATCAAGCTATGAAGCACCCATTAATGGGTACCAGTTGCTTAATAATAGCTAATGATAATGAAAAAATGCATGTCTATGACTAACTATGGGCCACTCGACTTTTACATCATCATACTCTGACAGTTAGGTTGCATAGACAAACATTATATTGTACTAAAATTATTTAGTGTTGTTTCTCTGTAACCCAATTAAGCGGGAGAGATTATCTCCAACCCTATAAATAAAGACG